GCTCCTGAGGCCTTTATGAATGAGGATGCCCCGTTAAACGTTCTAAGGAGATTACCTAAAGCCATCTGCTGCCTTTATTTCCCCCGGTGTGCACTAAAAGTGTGCAGCTGCTCAACAGGAAATGTTCCGTGACACCATGGGGCTCATGGGCTGGCCTTGAAAGTTGGGGAGCAGAGAGGAGGTGCGGCGTGGGGAGAAGTGGGTGAGCACACGCAGGAGTTACCCCTGCGCCCCAGTGTCTCCAGCTGGACATTCAGATTTTTCTACCCTGTCGATGTGCTCTCTCATGCAGGCGTCATTCTGTGTGTGTCGTTGATTCTTTCAGTGCATGAGTGCGTGTGCGTGTGCGTGTGTGTGTGTGTGTGTGTGTGTGTGTTTTGAATTGGAAAATTGGTCTTTGAGTTCACCAGCAGCAGCTGCAGCTGCCATAATTAAAATGAAATAACCTGCTTCCTTCAGTCTGTAGGGAGAAAAGCTTTTTAAAAAAAATCTATATTCTAAATGGACTTGGGAATGTGGTGAATCTTCTCTCCTCTCCCTCTTTACTTGCAACAAGTTTGATGGCTTTGTTTTCCTCAGGAGTCAGGGGAAGAGAAGGGAGTTCACCTTGAGGAGCATTTGTCCAGCCCGGCACTAGGCAAGGTCGTCCCATCTGCACAAGCCAGGACTCCAATCTAGCTTGGATGCTTCATTTTCTCCTCTACCGTGTGCAGTTCCATGTCTTGTAAGCCCCAGATCTCTCAACCTGCCTGCCTGTCCGGAGCCCTGGGAGGCTTGGCGTTATTAAGATGTTAGGGGATATGTTGGCACCTATAATTGGCTTAGATTAGAAACCAATGCTTTTTTGCAGAATAACGAGGTTAAGTATCCTGCCCTAATGATTACATGGTAATGAAATGGTTTTCAGGGGATTGGACCTACTCTTGGAGGTGATGCTTAAAAGTCATTCTTTAAACCAGGCTGGGGAAAGAAAACCCCTAAAGAACGTCAGACTGCGGTCTTGTGTGGACCTCAGAATAAGGTGACGAAGGTAGAAAGGGGCGAATACATGCCAGGAGTTGGAGATACTGTGGGCACTGTCTCAAGGAGCTCCCAGTCTGGGGGAAGAGAAAGACATGCCAGTAAAGACTTATATGACCCTGGTAGTAAGCATTAGGTCATGGATATGAACAGCTTGCTATCATTTCAGCAAATTTTTCCTCCAAAAATCCATTTCTTTCCATTGGTAACCTAATGAGGAGAGTAACCTCACTGTGAGTGCAATGCCCAGAATGGGAAATATAAAACGATGAAAAGAAACTATTGTACATTCTGATGTCTGTGTGAGAGTCTGGCGCTTACTCTCTCTAATCCCTTCTTATCATTCCCACTAAATAATGAAGATGTGTAAGGGAGCTAAGGGGTTTGCCCAAAGCCCACAGGCAGTGACTGGACAGTGACTCAGATCCATTCTACCAGCCCCACAGCCCCTGCTCGTGCCAGGGCACCTCTGAGAAATTCTGCACCCTGCTGTTAGGTAGATAGCACAGTGATCGTCCGTATTTACAATGAGGAATGTTTTTCTTCTTGAACAAACCAAGTTTTAAATCTGGTGTCTTGACAGGAGTCACTCATGATTATCATCTCTGGCTGCAGGTGTGAAGTCCAGTTTGAGTTCCCTGAGTGCTCGGGGCAATCCTCCCAAAGAATGAAGTCAGCCCAGAGCCTAGAAACGCTAGAATGTCAATGAAAAAACAGATTCCTGGCATCCAAAGGGTGTTCCCTGGGGCTCCCTGGTCGCATGCTCCTGTCACCACGTCTTAGCTGAGAAGGGAAAGACAGAAGGAAGCTCTCCCAGCAGGGAGGGAGGCTGGCCTCCTGCTAGCTTTGAAATTCCCTGCAAAAGACCCAAGTCCGTGTTGTTTGGTACCCAACTCAACGCACTGTCTTATCTCCTTGATGTGTGGTCACTTTGGGGAAAGCTAGCAGAGGCAGAGGCACCCTGCATCTCCCTCCAACTGGACATCTCAAAATGCAGTCCAGAAAATGACCACACTTCCATCCACCCAAGGGTAGCGTAGAGGTGCACTGGGAGTGGAAGGTATTCTGGGAGTGTCAGGTGTACAGAGGTCACACAGTGTCACAGCACGTTTTGTGGCTCTCCCGCAAAGGGAGAGAACAGGGTGCAGATCTTGTCTCCACCAAGCCTCCTTTCCTCATCTGCAGGGCTGGAAGGCGAATGCTTGTCTCCTGCAGTTGTCTAGACGGTTAAATAAAATCATGTATGTACCATTGGCTGCCACTCTGCCGGATGCTTGGCATACAATTAGGAGCTTCCTATCCCAGGCACCGCCCCTTCCTGTTCATACTGTACAGGGCTTGCCACATTCATCTTCCTACAGCAGATCTCCAACACGTCACATATCTGCTCACAAGCCCTCAATGGCTCCCCGTTACTGACTGAATAATGCTCATCTTCTCTAAATTGGCAGCCAGAGCCCTGTCTGTTGGGGCCCAGCCTACCTACCAGGTGTGATGTTTTCCGTTTTCCCCTCCTGCACCTACACTCCCTCATGTGGAGCATGCTGCCCTGTCCCCAGGCCACCCGCCTAACACTGGTGCAAGGCTGAGTTCTCTGCTTGGTCAGGCAGGGTGATCCCTCCACTCTTGTTTTCTCATGGGATTGTATCTCTCTTATAAAACTTCCAAGCATTATAATTACTTATGGGCATGTCTCTTTTTTTTTTCCTTGTCAGCCTGTGAGCTTCCTGAGGGCAGGATTTGCTTGAGTCATGAGTATATCCTATACAGCACCTAACATGCACTATTGAATGAATGAATGAATGAATGAATGAGGGAGTGAATGAATGAATGAGGAAGTGAATGAATGAATGCTGTGCTCCTCTCCTAACTGGACTTCCCCTCCACAAAATATGCTAGTATGGCCCTGACCATACTAGCCTCCTGCTACCTTTGATGCTAATCATGAGTATGGCTCAGTTGGGTGGTATATAGTCAAAACAAAACAAAAAGAACAACAAAAAATGCTAGTATATAAATACTTCTAGAACCTTTGGTCAACCCATGAGCATTTTGGTTTTATGAATAGTCATTTTGATGCTTATTGGAGGACATGTGAAAAAAAGGGAAATCAGGGGTATGAATTGAAAAGGAAATCAGCAAAAAGAAAAGAGTTGAGGTTTTTCCCTGAATCCTTGGGAAAGATGAGGGTGGAAGACAATTAAAACTGCAGTTCTGCAACTTCTTCAGGAGGGAAGGGATTGGAAGGCACGGGGATCTACAGCCTGAGCTGTGGAGGCACAGTGGACTATTGTCCCCTGGACAAGGAAGAGGGCTTCAGAAAGACCCACAGTGTTTCATCCAAGTCCCTGGGAGGGACTAGGACCCCAGCAGGATCCTTGGGGGCAAAGCCAACAGCTCTGAGTCCTAAAGTCCACCTGGGGTGAGGCCCATAATTCCAGCAAAGCAAGTTCCTGTTGATCTCTGAAACTTCGGAGTGTAAACTTGTAATGAACAAGATGCAATAAATAGAAATGAAGAGCCATTATTGCTCATTCAACATGCACAACATGGCAGTCCTACCGTCTGTGGTGTACTGTCCGCTTTTTATTTTAGTGAACGTGGTATGACTCGGAAGGACTTTGCTAGTGTTCTGGTTGTCAGGTCTTCTACCCTGGGGTGGGCAGGACCTGAGGTGTAGAAGGATGCTCTGCCTTTGAGCAGAGCCTGGTGACCGTTCCTGCCCAATGCAGTCACTCTTTGTTGAGAATAACGAGAATTCACAATAAAGAAATATATGAAATACAGATGAAGCTAGAAAATTTTCAAACTAGAAATTCATTTTTAATGGAAATTACCAGTAATGCCTCACCTTATAATGCATAATAACGTCTCTTATCTAGGATCCTTGGTATATTTGGGAAATATGTATTTAAGGAATTTCTCAAGTAATGACTTTTTGCCTCAGATGACTGAAGGCACCTGCCATACCTTTTTCTTTTGCCTAGTGGGTCTTTTATATAAGAAGTCATGTGATGGTGTTTTCAGTGGGTGAGTGTGGTCGCTGTTGCAGAGCGAAGTACCCAGATCATGAATCTGTGAGGACTTGTGTTCACATCCCAGTTCCTCCTCCTGTGATGACCAAAGCACATGACTTAAAACCTTTGAGCCTCCCCTTACCCTTCTTCGAGTGGGATAGATTTGTTTTTAATTCATTTCGCAAGCTGTTATCATGTACAGCTATCTCTTTGGCACTGGAGATCAGAGATAAGTCAAATTCAATGTCATAAAATTCTAGGGCAGAAAGGACTTCACAGGCCACCTGGTTCAAAAATTTCCTCTTTCAGATGAGAAAACAGAGGCTCAAAGAGGGGAACCAATTTGCTAGAGGTCACAATGCAATAAGCAAGAGGGCCAGAACCAGAACTCTTCTGTGTAAGGAACTCTGCCCAGGGGACTACCAACACTCCCTCATGGAGTACCACAGGGATGCTCAGCCCATTTTATTGGGCAGGGAAGGAAGGCTCCAAGAAATTCAGTGAATCAATGACAGGACTGTTGCAGGGGCCAGAGCATCAGCCTTAAGCTCTATCCCCTCACCTTTGTCCCAACACTCATCACATCACCGTCAGTCCTTTGCAAAACACTGTTTCTATTCTGCTCCAAACCTTAGCTGGGCACCTGGATTGTAACTTGCAGTCCATGCCTTGAGAGGTTTGGGCAGCTCGAGGAATCACCTGTGAACAGTAGCCATCAGACAGCACCCTCACTCCCACCCTGAGGAAGACTCACTAGAGCCTCCCGGGAAGGCTGCAGAGAGGAAGTCTGTGTGGGGTACTCAGGGAATTGGGACCCCACTTCTCTGTGTGGCTGGGGGACCAGGAACAAGCCCAGCTCCCCATGCTGTGTGTTTGTAGTGGCTGCTGGGGAAAGATCTGTGAGGAAGGTCAGGGGCATCTTGCCACCTCACTCAGTTGGGCCTGTGTTCTCTGCTTCAACAGAAAGGATCGAGCCCCGTCCTCGAGGATCCGATGGCCCACGGACACTGCTGACTCTTCAGGACATGCGGACATGGAGCCAGGTCAGTCCCCTTGTCCACTCTGATTTTCTGCGTCATCAGCTGCAAACCTGTGGTCTTGATGAGAAAGTCCCTCTTGGAATGCGAAATCGTGATTGCTTTTTGGGTGAAGGCTTTTGCCACTAAGTAGCATGGGAAGTGGAGGCGGTCCGGCCAGAGTGGAGGTGGCCTCCTTGCGGAGCAGAAAGCAGTAGGCGGACTCATGGGTGCTGGAACCCAACCAGCAGCCGGCAACCAGCATGATTGGAGGACAGAGCAGGCAAGGGCCTGGCATCCAGCTGGAATGAGATGGAGGAGATGGCAGCCAGGAGGCACCTGGCAAGCTTAGGACCACATAGGCAGCGGTGGCCGATCAGTCATTCTGGGGTCCAGAGGTCGATGGTTGCATTCCAAGCTGGAGTGGAGTGAGAGGCATAGTTGAAAATAGCGGGGCGGGGGAGTGGGAAGCTGAGGGGAGATTGCCTGGAGGACAGGTGGTCTGGGGGCCGGGTCCAGCGGCCAGAGCAGCTCCTTGGAGGCCTTACTTTATATTGCCACGCAGAAGAGTGATGGCAGAAACAGTAGGAAGCACCTGAATTGGGTGGGAAAGTGGAAGGATGTTTCAAGCTAGAGAAGGAACATGGCACAGAGAAAGGCAGGATCGTAACTAGAGGCTGGGCCCTGGGGAGAAAGCTGAGGAAGCAAAGGAGCCAGGGCCCAGGGAGCAAGCTCTTTATTGAAAACTTACTGTGAGCCCAGCCCTTTTTCTTTTCCTCCAAGCCATCTGCAAGGGAGATGTGTGAGTCTTGCTAGGCCCAGTTATGCTGCAGTAATAAATTCACTCCAGAATCCCAGCGGCTTAACACAGCAAAGGTTTCTTTCTTGCTGGTGCTGCATGTCTAACTGAGGTGGGTGGAGGGCTCTGCTCTACCTCGCACCTCAGGAGCAGACTGACAAAGGCTTGGCCATCTTGTAGGTGTACTACCTGGAACGTGAGGCCACCTTGGTCCCTGCAGCAGGGACGAGACAGCTGGAAGGCTGCACTGGCTCTCAAATGCTTCAGTCCCGAAGGGACGCACAGCCCACGGGCCGGAACTAGCCTCATGCCCTAGTTTTTTAGGGCTCTGGGAAATGGGGGGAAGACATGGCTATTTGGTGAACAGTTCCTGCCTTCACCACAGTGGGTATAATTTTCATTTTTCAGGTAAGGAAACTGAGGTGCAGAGAAAGGAACCATCTTATCTGAGGTCTCCCAGCTAAAAAGCACTGGAGTCTAGACATTACATAACTGATTCAATCATTTATTTAGCTTAATCAGCAAAAACATATTGAATAACAATGACAGGCTCAACACTGTGATAGGCTCTGGGGATATAACAGGGAACAAAACTGAAGGTAGTCCTGGCCCATGTGGCTCAGTTGGTTGGGTGTAGTCCTGTGCACCAGGTTGTCGGTTTAATTCCTGGTCAGGGCACATGGCAGGTTGTGGGCTCGATCTCCAGGTTGGGGCGTACAGGAGGCAGCTAATTGATGTGTCCCTCTTACATCAATGTTTCTCTCTTCTCTCCCCCTCCCTTCCTCTCTCTCTAAAAATCAATAAAAATATTAGGGAAAACAAAACAAAACAAAAGTAGCCTCTGTTCTCAGCCCAAGGAATGTGTAACTACAGACTGGGATGTATGCTCGGCAGTAGAGACATACGGTTCTCTGAAGAGATCTATTAAGATTTTTAGCCTGGTCAGCATGGCTCAGTGTTTGAGCATCAGCCTTAGAATCAGGAGGTCATGGTTCAATTCCTGGTCAGGGCACATGCTGGAGTTGTGGGCTTGATCCCCAGTAAGGGGTGTAAAAGAGGCAGCCTATCAATGATTCTCTCATCATTGATGTTTCTCTCTCTCTCTCTCCCTTTGTCTTCCTCTCTGAAATATTTTTAAAAATTATTTTAAAAAAAGATTTTTAACTTTTCCTATAGAGAGACAGGTAAAATGGACTCCCGTGTATTGAAGCACTGTGCCAAGTACTTGATTTATTTATAACTTCCACAAGCCCATGAGGCAGTTCTTATAATTCCATTTTTCAGATAAGCAAGCCAAGGTTCACTCATAGAGGGAAGATAACGGGGCTGAAGGAGACTCTTCAACCTCATCCATGCTCACTTGTGATGTCGAGAAAGTTAAAATAAAAAACTTGAATTTCACCTTCCTCCTCCCCTGCCCTCCCATCTAACCCTAAGAAACATGGTCTCCTCTTTCTGCTCTGAATCACTCTTCTCAAGACTTTCTCCCTCTGGTCCTGCGAGTGTCACAACATGTGAACGTATCATGCACTGACAGTGGAGGCTTCTTGGAGCCCAGACACAGCATCCCTCATCCCCATGTTGGTGCCGCCCATATAGCTGAGCCCTTGTCAAACTCAAAGAGGGAGGGAGGACATTGCAGAAATACAGGGAGCGGTGTCTGACTCTGACAGGATGGGTTTGAATCGGAGCATTGGCAAAAGTGGATTCTTCTTTGTAGAATGTGGTTCCTTTTCTCTCCGGCATCCCCATCCCTCCCCTCGCACTCTGTGCTGTATTTACACTGACCCCATCACTTCTCTCCCCTCCTCAGCACATGTGACCACCTCCCCTGTCCCCACTCTGGTCCAAGCACCTTCTCAGACCTGGATTATCACAGTGGCATCTGCATGGGGCTCTGCTGCCCCCCTTCCCTCCCGGGGTCTGACATTGAGGTACCTGTTAAAACACTGGTCACATCAGACCACCCCTCTGCTCCGAACCCTCCTGTGGCTCAGAGGCTCACACCGAGGAAAAGCCAGAGGCCTCACAGTGACCCAACAGGGACATTGGCCTCTTTGCTGTTCCTTGAACCGTGAACACACTCCCACCTCAGGGCATAAGGCATAGAAGCCTTGTTTTCAGTCTCAGGGAAGCTCTTCAGGCAGCGGGAACAGCAGCAACCAGACCTCCAAGTCTCCATCCAGGTGAGCGGAGCAACCCTGGGCTGCAAGGGCCTGGTCAGTGACCAGGAGTGTGTTCCTCTCAGGGAGCTGCCAGAGGCCAGAGGTGTGAGCCAGGTGGACGCCCTGATCACCGTGCACCAGGAGCAGTGTCCCCAGCCCAGCCTCTCCTCTGCCCTCTTCCACTTGACCCTTTCTACATCCCATTCATCTCCACCTGAGGCATTATATATGACACTGCAAGTTTGGTTGCCTGTTGTTGGTCTTCTCCCACTGGAACCTGAGCGCCACCAGGGCAGGGACATACTTTGTGTTGTTCCCTGCAGTGTTCTTATGCCTGGAACGCTGCCTGCACATTGTGGGCACTCAGTAACTATGCACCGAGTGAATGAACAGATGAACCAATCATGGCGCATCAGATTCCTTGGTGTTACTCGCTTACACTCTCTTGTTCCTACCATCCTGCCTTTACACCTGCTGTTCCCTCTTCCTGAATGATCCCAAAGACTTTCTCTGTGCTCCAACTCAACACCCTCATTCTTTCTCAGTCACTCCACCTGCCCGGGGGGTGAAGTCCCTGCAGCACATGGCACAGGCATGACCCATCCATCCCTGTGGGGCTAAGGGTTCAAGGGCAAGCACAGATCCTCACTGCTGAGCCCAGTGTCTGGTGCACAGCTGGGGTCCAGCTGTGGTATGCTGGCCTGAGCCTTATGGACCAGAGCGCTATATGAAACTGCAGCCCAGGGGCCCCATTTCTGCCTGTCCCCGTCACCCTGAGTCAGGAAGCAGGAGTCCTTGTTGCCAAGTCAGGCTCCTCCTGCTTCCTCAGAGATCAGGAAGATGAGGCAAATGGGACACTAATGAAATTCAGAGAGAAAACTAAATTGGGAGGTGTTGCAAACACCATGGAGGAGGGAGATGCAATGTGAAAGGCTCTCTCCAGAGTGGGCAGGGGAGTGGGAGAGCGCAGAGAGAGCTGGAAGTGGCATTCCCGGGCCTCCTCTGACACCCACATTTGGGGTGGCCTGTGGGATCATTGTAGGGGCTTCACTTTAAATCAGGGACCTTTTCGTCAACTGACTCATCCATTCATTGATGCCCTCCCACCACCTTGCCAAAACAGATTTGAGTGGGTTAACAATTATAAATAGATTAAATAGCTAAGACCAAGACTGTTTAATGCACAATTAAGGTAGAAAGTAAGGGAGAGAAAAGGGCGGGAGAGAAGAAAAAAGATTATCGGAGCCACCCAGCAGCAGGTTCTTGAGAAGCAGCCCGGGGCTCCTGTGACAAACAGATGGGGCTGTGCCTGTTTAAGATCATCAGGGAAGGAAAAGCTGTGGGCACAGGGTAGCAGTGATGACCAGTGTTTCAGAGAACTTTCAAATCCGTTGTCCATTCCTTCAGTTATAGGCATTGACCATGTGCTGTGGGCTAGAGGTCCGCCCACCCCACGGGGTACTTTCTTCTATCTCATTGAATGATCATAGCACCCTGCAAGGCGGTCTTTTAAGGCTCTTTTTAGAGACCAGGTGAGTGAGGCTCAGAGACACTGAGCCATTTCCTCAGCACATGATGCTGGGGCAGCTGGATATGCACCTGCATAAGCATGAAGTTGGACCCCTTCCTCACACTATATACAAAAATGACCTCAACATGGATCATCGGCCTAAATTTAAGAGCTAAAACTCTAAACCTTTAGAAGAAAACATGGGCCTAAATGTAATGATCTCAGATTAGGCAATGGTTTGACACCTGCAAAAGCAGGGGAGGATAAAACTCATAAATTGGATATCATCAACATTTTAAAAATTTGTGCTTCAGCCCTGGCTGGTGTGTGTGGCTCAGCAGTTAGAGCGTGTACTGGAGGGTTTAATTCCCGGTCAAGGGCACGTACCTGGGCTGCAGGTTTGATCCCTACCCCCAGTCAGGGCTCATGCGGGAGGCAACCATTAGATGTCTCTCTCTCTCTCTCTCTCTGCTCCCCTTTTTCCCCTCCCTTCCACTTTCTATAAATGGAAAAGATATCCTCACTCCTCAGGTGAGGATTAAAATAATAATAA